TGGGAATGTACCACGTCCACGGTCCGACTTTGAAAATAATTATGCATACAATGGACTCAGGACAAGATGCGTTTCTATATGTCTTCCTACCACTATAACCAAGTTGCGAAAACAATGTCAAACAAATTCTATACAACGAAAGGAGACTGCGACCACACAAAAGGACACACCATCTTCATATCTTCTAAAAAAGGTGTGTTTTCAAAAATGGTTAAATGATTCCAAAATTCAAAATCAAAACATTTATATAATCGCAGAGCAGTATTAAAAGAAAAATAACCCACATCATGCATAGAATCATAAGCATAGTTCGTCGGGTTCTTGAGCTTAACCATATTGAGAATCATATCTGGTGCACCTTTGCAGTCTAAACCTGAATTACGTCTGCCCGGAAGTTCAAGCATGAGATCAGCAAGGATAGAATTTGTCTGATGCGAGGTCTGAAGTACAGCTCCAAGCAAGCTGGCAGCCAGTGGAGAGCCACGAGTCAAAAATGCTAGACGTTCGTATCCATGTGTATTCAGGCTGGCAGGGGCCCAGCCGATTGCATTTTTGGCACAGGATTCAGGGACGCTTAAAGCCATACCAGCTTTAAGAGAACTGATGCCACTTGGAAGAAAGCAGTTCGCTTCAAGACCAGTCCATATCACCAGAAGTTGAGTAGACTCTTCCAGACTGAGATCAGCGTTAAGTTGAAACTGAGTATGAAAGAAAAATGATGTTTCTACTACCATGACAAATAATAAGACAAAAAGGCAGTAAAATTGAGAAACTATTGGCCCCGGTTCCTATTACTATTAAAATGTATAATATTTAATGTTTACAATGAATATCACTGTAGACTCATCCTCCAAGGTAAATATGGGTCTTGAAATTGACCAACGCATATTCATAACAAAATAATTTAATTATGAAGCACTATTTCGGATTCATCCATTGTTACTCTATATCCTCATTTATTTCAAACTAACGTTCTCAAATGTGAAATAAATCGAATCAATACATTATGGTGGATGGGAGTCATAGTGCCCTCTTGCAAGCCGAA